GGGTGAATAGCGGTATTAAAATATTTCTCCTAGTTAATTTCCTTTCAGTGTGCACAAATTCATGCACTGGGCCACTAGTGATAAATAAATTGGCCACTTGACAGTCTGTTTTCATCTATAAACTGGTTGCATCTACAAAATATGCAGTATTAACAAACAACCCAAAATTTTTAGTGGCTTAAAATACTAAAGGTGTGTTTCTTCTTGCTGGGAGCTCATTGGGTCTGGAGGGAGACTGTGCTGTATTGTCCTGGCCCAGCCTCCCAAGGTGATGGGCCTCTACCATCTAGAATGTTGCCAGGCAGCCATGGCCTGGGGAAGGGAATGGGGCAAATCCCACACTAGCTCTTAAAGGCTTTGAATAAAAAATGATGTATATTCACTAACACCTCATTGGTTAAAACAAGTCACATGGCCATATCAAGCTTTAAGGGAAGTATAACCTGACTATGTGCATGGGTGGAGGTGAACCAGTCTTGGTGAAGGCCCTGCTGGCTACTACAGGGGTGCTGATACTTACACAATGTGCACCCCACACCCCACATAAGAAAATACTGGATAGAAATGAACACCATGTGAAAAAGGATTGTATTAATAGATTATGAAAGAACTAGAGGCCCGGTGCACACACCCCATGCATGAATTTTGTGCACTGGGCCTCTAGTCTATATATATAAAAGACTAATATGCTGAGTGTCCTTCCCTCCATCTGGGTAATGACATCACGTAGCAATACCTGGCTTCCTCTCCCTAACGACCACTAGCATCCTTACAGTTTCTTCAGCCCAGGAACACTTTAGCCAGGTGGAAACACTTTACACTGTAACCAAATGTCTGTAAAGTGTTTTCCCATGCCTCATCTCATTTAATCCTCACAGAAGTCCTGGAGTAGGTAGATAGGAGACTCGTGGGATCCTATTTTCTTTTCATTAGCCAGAAAACGGAGGTTTAGAAAGTTTAGAAACTTGACCCGACTGGTCGCGCACACAGCAGGCCTGATCCCGGGGTTGGGGCAGGCGGCAGATGGTGCTGCCCCACCCCACCTGCAGTATGCAAATTTAACGGCCATCTTTGTTGGGCTAATTTGCATACTCTTCTGATTGGCTGATGGGCGTAGCGAAGGTATGGTCAATTAGCATCTTTGTCTTTTATTAGTGTAGATGGATGATTTTTATTTTATTTATTGTTGACAATATTACAGATGTCTCTCATTTTCTCCCTTTTTGCTCCCCTCTACCCAGCCCCACCCAACCCCAGGCCTCCCCCATGCTGTTGTCTATGTCCATGGATTATGCATATATGTTCTTTGGTTAATCTCTCCCTGTCCCTCCACCCCCCACTGAGATCTGTTATTCTGTTCCATGCAAGGAATGGATGTCTTTCTATCATTTTTTTAAAATGTCTATAACATACTTAAATTTCAACTTAAAAAACATGCAAATGTTAAGTGGTAATCATAGAAGTAATGCCCCTTTTTCCTCCATAGTTGTCATCATTGTATTATCTACTTGAATGAGGCTTTACTGGGATACCTGCCATAGGTGACCTTATGTGGAGGTGTGGGATCGAGCTTGACCTAGCCTCTGTCCTTGTCCAACCAAATACCCGCAATCCTAGGTTAAAATGCTCTCACAGGTCTTGGAAACTCAGGGTGGTGAGAGGCTCTGATTAGTAACAGGACTAGAGTGTGATGACAGAATCAGGTCTCACTTTACTAGGCCCATCCTGCCCGTGTGGGAGGTCGCCAGGGCAGGAAGGCACCCAGTGTGCACAGAGCGGCTTTGTCTGTCCCAGGTACCGCCCACTCATCTTCTTCTCCTGCACTGAAGTGCCACATTCCTGGGGTTGGCTCTTGTGCAGTTTAAGGGGAGGCCTGACAAGGGTGTTTTGTTGGGTTCTTTTGGCTCCTGCGGGTGATGACTTGTTTCTTCCTGCACTGCTGCTCTGTGGGAGGGGCTCTACTTCCCCCGCTCCCTGGCTTGGAAAGCCCAGGGGATTCTCACTAAAGTTGAGATCAGCATTTCAAGTACCTTTGGCTGTGTACAGTGAGTGTGCACAGAATGGGAAGGTTTTTAATGGGGTACCTCTCGGGGATATTGATTTATACAGGTGAGACCTTAAATAAAGTCTTCTCAATCATTCATCCACATAGAGGCTAGGAGTTTTGATGATTTCCCAGTATTCTCTTTTCTGGGGAAAGGAATCCTCAGGTACCATTCCACCATCTCTTCTACTCCCACCCTCACTTCTGTCCATAGTTTTATTGTCCAGTAGAGAAGGTGTGACCACCTGAAAGCTGAGACCACAGTTCCCTTCAAAGCAGGTATCATAGTGACTCCCCCCACCACCCCCCACCCCCGCAACCAGGGCACCTAGCACAGTATCTTAGATATCATGAGAAATCAAAACATACTTATTAGTTTTAGAGGAAGCATAAAATTACAGAGGCTTTCTACCACTTTAAACGCATAATTTTGGTAAAATATAGAAATGTAAAGGAGATATATTTGCCATCATCTAAGAAATTTCCCCCAATATAGTCTTGTTGTTACTCCCAAATGAACCCCTTAGTTCCAAATATACATTATAAGTCTTTTTTATCCTTTTAGCTATGGGCACTTCTCCATCTGACTGAATCATCAGGCTTCCTGTTGTCTCTTGTTCATAATCGCACCCTCCTGGCCGTCTTTGCAGTTAGAGCCAGGGGTGATGATGGCACAATGCCAGCTATATGCTCTTGTTGCCTGGTCATCACCCATCTGATCTCTCTGCAACCTGGGCAGCCCCATGGGATCTTACCGTTTGGGTAGCTCCTAACAGTCAACAGGGATGCCCAGAGTTGTCTTGGTGGTTACCAATTGGTCATATGCTCTTTTCTTATATAAACACTTACACCTCTTCATTTTTTTTCTTTTTTTTAATATATATTTTATTGATTTTTCACAGAGAAGAAGGGAGAGGGACAGAGAGTTAGAAACATCGAAGAGAGAGATCGATCAGCTGCCTCCTGCACGCCCCCCACTGGGGATGTGCCCGCAACCAAGGTATATGCCCTTGACCGGAATCGAACCTGGGACCCTTCAGTCCGCAGGCCGACGCTCTATCCACTGAGCCAAACCGGTTCGGCTACCTCTTCATTTTTAAGTGGGTTTTGTAGTTTCTTGTCTGCCTTAATGGCCTGTTGACCTATAAAGACTGTAAAGAAGGAAGAATAAGGGGGAATTAAGGGAGAGTGGGAGCTCGCTGAGTTTGTAAGAGGAAGCAGTTCACAGTAGTTTGTAGCCCTTGAGAACTGAATATAGAAACCAAAGAGGAAGAACCAGTGAGGTGGCAGTGGAGGGAGCAGCCATGGTGTAGACAAGATCCAGGCTAAACCAGGCTTATCCTGTAATTATTTTAGGATCTGGAATCAGTGACCGTCATATGAGGGTGAGCTGCATACGCACATGTACATACTACACCACACACATGGATACACACACACACACACACACACACACACACACACACACACTTTAAAGATAGGAATGAGGACCAATAGCAAAAGCCCATAGATATTCTGCTTGGATGGAGAGGAACAGTATTCTGCTGTTTGTATATTCCAGAGAAATATGCTCTTTCAGGTATTGACAGATATTGTCTTTGACACACGTCATTCTGTGCACTTTTCTTGTTCCTTTTAAAGTGTGGTGGGTCGTGGATGAAAAAGGCATAACTTTGTAGAAAGAGTATGTGTGGCCTGGTGCAGATTCATCCTGCTTAGGAAAGCTTCCAGGTTGATATGGCTTCACTCGGTGCTTCCATTTAGTTCCCGTGTGTTTGACTTTGAATGGAGGGTACTGGATGTTTCAGGTTGTCTCTAAGAACAAAAGTCATATCACAATTTCTCGGAGATTAACTGTCTCACAAAAACCTGTGATAGAGCGTTCATCGACCTTGTTGCATCTGATCTTGTTTCTGGAGCTCTGAGCAGCCCTCAGGATGTTTCCACATTAGTACTGACCAAGCCATTGTTCAGGGTCCTCTTCAGAATGTGGTCCTTGCCACGATTTATACCAATGTATACCTCAGACTCCTGTGCTGAGCACTTGTGTTTCAGTATTGGGATGGGCTTAGTGCAGTGTCCTACTTGTTTTGAAAGCTTTTTACCCCTGCCCGGTAGCTTCTGCGTCACACCATGGGGAGCTCAGCAGATTTAGGAAAAAGAGAGGACGTTGGAGGTAGTGGATGAGAAGTCTTATCCTTGCCTGTCTGCACCAGCCCCGCAAGTACAAAGTGGACAAGTACACATGGCTCTTGGCTTTAGGAAAACCTTGCTGAAAAATGAAATAAAAATTCCTCTACTGGACAGGAAATTAATCAGGGCTGAATATAGTAGACAGGAACATAAGCTAGACTCCTTGTTCCATCACTGATGAGTGTTTTATTATTATGTAAATGAGATTAAATGCACAGTGACTAGTGTGGGGTTCTGAATGGGGAGAGAAATGAAAGAGGTGAATAGATTCCTTAGGATTTAAACTCTGGCAACAAAAATGTTTTTTATAGCATCTGCTGCCTCTTAGTCCAAAAATGGTGAGCAATGGAACCTCCTCAGCCTCTTTTGTCATTGTTTCTTCAAAGCATCCTTCATGATAGTGTGACACATGGTGGTTTATTCATTCCATGACACTTCCCGATCATCCACGGTGACCCAGGCCGTATGCCAGGTACCACGGCTATTTCACAAAAACATCTAGTCCCTGCCTTCCAGGAGTTTCCAGTCTGGCCTGCAGAGAACCAGCCAAATAAGAAATGGTGTCATACCACTCAGGATTCTTTGGTTGTAAAATTGCACTTTGATTTATCTCTCGGGATTGCTGGTCAGTGAGCAGACATATGTTTTATCTTGGGCATGCTCATTGTTGAAGTTGTGATGAATTGAGGCTATAAAACTTAGAATCACTAGCCTATAGATATGTCAACTCATTGCCATTTCTTTCTTGTTCTCTTGATTCCAGTGTGAGCAGTCCCACCTCATGAGAGAGCATGAGGATGTCCAGGAGCGGACGACGCTTCGATACGAGGAGCGCATCACAGAGCTCCACAGCATCATTGCGGAGCTCAACAAGAAGATAGACCGTTTGCAGGGCACCACCATCAGGTAGCAGCCTCCGGTCATGATTTCTCTCTGTCCCTCTGGGCTGTAGCCTGGGTCTTAGAGTTGAAGTCACCCCTGTGAATTACAACGATGTCTTATTTGTAATTAAGACTTTTACAGTTGATAAAGTAGTTTCTCTTTGCTTTGTTAGCCACGCACTTTCCCCTTATTAGTCTGTTCTGCTTAAGGGTGACGGTTGGAATCCTCTGTTTCTTGATAAGGGTGTGGAATCAGAAGTTGAATGAGATGCTTATAACAAGTTCTAAATGGAGCCCCTCTTCCTGAGAAACCAGTATCTCTAGCACACCAACTCTGCTCCCCATCTGTAAACTGTGGACCTCCATGGGGATTTTGAGAGATTTCAGAATGAGGCTTACAACATAGGCTTCTGGATAATCTAATATTTTGAGCTTACCTCCAGTTGATTTACCAAAATTGGCTTAGCCTCTTATAGACTCCTAAGGTGGGGACAAGATTTGATCCATTACTAGTGAAAAAGTGAGGGACTGTGTCTTCGGGACTGTGTCTTTCTTGCTTGTCAATCAGTTGGCCCCTGAGTCTCCTGCACACAGCCCGTGGTGTCTGCCCTGCTGTTCAAGGGGAGAGGTTCGCTTTAGGTGATGTACTGAGCCAAGGATGAGAACTGTTATCTTCCTGCCTGTGCGCAGGAAACAGCCCTGAAGAAAGCAAATGGTTGGCCCGTGTCTTTATGGAGAAAGAGAGCTTTGTTTGCTGAATGTTTGCACAAGCCACATTTACAAGAGTTTTAGAGGCAGCTACTTTAAACTCTCCCTCTCAAAGTCCTGCGTTAGAAGAAACTTGGGATGCATTTTGTTCCAACTCTGGAAGTCGGAGTAATGACAGGGCTACTTGATGAGGGCACTGATGGGCCTGTGTTTCCTGGGCAAAATCGTGGAAAACTTGACACTGAACTGGAGCCACATAATAAATTTCATATTCTAATTTAGAACTCCAGACTTTTAAATTGAATCCTGGCCTTCGGAGTGATTGCAGGTTAGCAGTGCCTGAGCAGAGAGGAATTTTCAGCCCAGAGAAACGATTATAGCAGATTTAAAGGAGGCTGACAGAGTAAATTGGCAGATGTGTAATTCTCATTAAAACATGTTGCACTTTCAACACTTGAAGATGAAGGCAAATGGGCTCAGTGAGTTGTGAAAAAAATGCATCACACATCACCTGGAAAACGCAATTTCAGATGTTTAAATTGAACATAGTGGCCAAAGTGTTCCATGTAAAAATGCAGTGAGCTTCTAGACCATAAACATTTATTAGTGCCTCTTATTTAAAGGGAAATTGCATCTGTGCAGATGTCGCATTAAATTCTACCAGTTTTCATTATGTAAATGAGCTGACCCCTCCTTGTGGGGCCTCCCTGAAGGGCTGGAAGACATGCGGACATGTGGGCCAGTAAGACAAGGCTCTTCTTGTCCTCTGAACTCCAGTGGCTAAGGCATCGCCCCAGCCCCCAGCACACCAGGAAATTCGTTTGCCCTCAGGTCCTGAGATTCTATGATAGGTTCAGTACAGTAGCAGCCAGACACTTGGACAAACTCTAAGTTCCCTAGCATAGCCAGGGTCTAGAGATTTGATTATCATTATAGTCACGTACAATGCTGGTACCTTACAGACTTGCTTTCACTTCAATCTGGGTCTGACTTAGGAATTTATTGGAAAAGCTGAAAATTATTAATAAGGGAATAGTTTATGTAAACTATGATATATCCACACTTAAGCAGTCCGAGTGGGGATTTACAAAGGTATATTATTAGTCAGCTCAGGCTGCTGTAACAAAATACCACAGATTTGATGGCCTAACCAACTGTGGAATTTATTTCTCACAGTTCTGGAGCTTGGGAAGGACAAGATTAAGGTGCCAGCCAATTCAGTTCCCAGTGAGGGCTCTCTTCCTCATTTGGGAAAGGTGGCCTTCTCACTGTGTCCTCACCTGGCAGGGAGAGAGCTGAAGCAAGCTCTCTGGTATCTCTTCTATAAGGTCACTAACCCCATTCTGAGGCCTCCTCCCTCAGGACCTCATCAAACCTAATTATATTCCAAAAATCCCATCTCCAAATACCATTGCATTGAAGGTTAGGCTGCAACATATGAATGGCAAGGGGTGGGGGAGGGCACAATTCAGTCCATAGCAGAAAGTCAGGTGATGAGTACATTATGACCTGAATTCCTACCATAATAGACCTAGTCTACCATACTGCACCATTTGGGAGATAAACATTTTTCAATGCCCTAGAGATATAGTAAATGTTCCCGATGAGCAACAGTATATGGTGCTGCTTTTTTTTGTGTGTGTGTGTGAAGATGGGGGGTGGAGGGGGGATGGACTGCAAAAGATGGAATGGCTACTCTCATTTATATACTCAGAAACCCACTTTTAAAAGATGTTACTTCTCGTCTTTGCAACTTAGAGAGCTTGGCTAGTTTAGAAGTCTTAGTTCCCAAGGAAACTATGCCTCCATCAAAGACTATCACAATGATTCCATTGACTGCCACCAGGCCCTTGGCAATGAAGAGAATTATTGTACTGGATGGGGTGATTGATCCTAACTATCAAAAGGAAATTGGATTGTTGCTGTATCACGGGGCAGGGAGGACTATGTTTGGAACCCAAGGGATTCCCTAGGTTACCTCCTAGAAATTGCCCAGTGGTAAAAGCTAGTATAGTAGAACAACCTGGAAGAAGGAAGTTATAAATACCAACTTAGCCTCATGACCAGTTACAAATAAGTTGGTGAAATTTACAGTTTAATAGTTAGGTTACATGATATCTAGGTGGATTTGACATTGAACTGGAAGAGGAGTGATCACTTAACAACGGATGCAATACCTGATGGGACTTGGGGTCTCCCATTTTGAATGAGGGATGGTTACAGAAGCTGGTGTCCATTGATATTGCAATTTGAAAATTTAAGTGTAAGGGAGTGTGTATGGTTGTCTTGTAACCAAAGAGAATTGACTATCATGAATATTGTCTGGCACCTGGTACAATTCCCACCTCCTTCCTCTACACTCCCCAGAATCAAAGAGATTGGACCCGGGGGACTACTTCCCAGACTACTGGGTTCTGAATACAGTTTCAGCTCTGCCAACAGAGGCGCACTTGCATGGGTTTGGAAGACAAAAAGGGAGGTGGAAGCCATGGTCCCTCAGGCCATGATGGTAGCAGCTGATATCCAGGCTTTGGTGACATGAGGTCCTGCATTGACTGGTCAGACCCTGGAGCTCTGGGCAGGTATGAAGGCAGCAGCAGTTTCCTGACCCTGGAGAGGACCACAGCTATGATGGCAAACCTGACAGCTCCTGGTGGCCTCCATCCACCCTTCTTTTCCCCCGCCCTTCCCATGGTTTTGCTAGCACAAAGCTGCCTAAATTAAATCCTTTCTACTTGAAACATCCAATGTCGTTTGTGTTCCTAGCTGAACCTTGCCTAATGCTTCCTACATCCCATCTCCAGGAATAAACAATGACATTTTGTATATATGGCCTTCTAAAAAATTTTTATTTGTGAATGTTTTAAACAAATTGGGTCATGTAGCACACACTGTTTTGTAATATGTGCTTTTTCACTTAACTGTATCTCATGAGTAGCTTTTATAAATGCTCATCTGACTTGGGAGATTATATAATGGGATGGGGGAAATGGGCAAATACATCAGTAGCTCACTTTGGATCTGGGGAAGGGGGTGTCTAAGCAAATTAAACATGAGATATTTTGTTTCCCAAGATTATTTTCTTTTTACAAAAGCTACTCTCATAAAAGCATCAACCTTTCACTACCAACTCTCATGAGCAGCCATGTTTCTGCTGCATTTCCCAAATGCTCACCAGCCCTTTGCTGTCTGGCTTCTGATCCAAATGGTTTACCAAAACTCCTTTAGCTATGGACTGAATTGTGTTCCCGCCAAAATTCATATATTACAGTCCTAACCCTTCATGTGATGGTATTTAGAGATGGGGCCTTTGGGATATAATTCAGTTTAGATGAGGTCATGAGGATGGGGCCTATTTGATGGGATATTGAGCAACTTTATAAGAAGAAGACACACTAGAGAACACAATCTCACCCTCACTTAGTCCCTCCCTGTCCTCAACCCCACCCCTCCCTGCCAATGTGTGGACACAATAAGAAGACAGCCATCTGCAAGCCAGGAAGAGAGCCCTGACCAGAAACTGGCCATGCTGGCACTTTGACTTGGACTTCTAGTCTCTAGAAATCTAAGAAAATAAATTCCTGTTGTTTAAGCTAGCCAGCTATGGTATTTTGTTACAGTAACCTGAGCTAAGACACTTTAAAAAAAAAAATCACCAGTGATTCCTTAACTGAAAAATCCCATGGCTTTTGCTTGTTACTAGTCCTTTTCTGCAGCATTTGACCTTAAATCCTCCTTCCTTCTGGTGTGTTCTTTCTGGAATCTCTAGCACCCTGTAGGTCCTAGATCTTCTCTTCTGTCCCTGAGATCCATCCTCAACCTTGGCTCTTACCCTGGGCTCTGTCCCTCACACCTTTCACCCTGAATGACCGCAGGCCAGAGCACATTGACCCATCCTATCTGTATCACCTCGCATTGGCACTTAACCATTCCGCTTCCTCGTCTGTAAAATTTTCCTCATTTGGGGAATGAGATACTATCCAAAATCTCCATCTCTAACATAATTCGATCTCTGAAATCTCAGGCCTGTACCATGAACCTGGCCTTCCTTCTGATCTTTCAACCCACACATTGACCTGTGCACTGTGTCTATATGTCTAGCTTCACATTGCTGCATCTCAAACAGTGTAAACAAAGCCTCTTTATCTCCCAGCAAAACATATTGTTTTGATTAATTTCTGGCCTAACAAGTAAAATATAGTGAAATGAAAATCCAGAAAAATAAGATAGATTTCTCTCTCCCTGTCTTCCTGTGTGTTTGACATCCATATTTAGAAGTTCTTGAATATCGATCCTATATCACATCTTGTTAAAACTGGTATTTGTTGATCGCTAGCCTTTCAAAATCTCATTTGTTCAGTTATTCACCAAAGGATCCAAAGATGGGTCTGAGCCTTCTCTGTGCTGTATTAAAAAATTAGAAGAGGTAGAATTAAAGAATCAGGACTTCACTTTTTTCCTGCTATAGATCCTGTAAGAGAATGGAAAGGATTACATTTCCTCCTTATATTTAAAAATCTTTGCTCTTTAAAAGAATGATGGTCACTTCAGAGCAGTACACTTTTAATTGTAAAAAAAACAACAACAACAAAACCCAAAAAACAGAATGTGGTTCAGAAGGACATAGGTGACTGACAGTTGCCAAGATAGGCAGATGTCCATCTGGGTCTTGTTCACAAATCACTCCAATCAAGTGACAAAGCATGAATGCACACCCCCACATTAAATAGATATGGACTTTGCTAATGAAGTAATATTTTTATCAAATGCTGCTGAGTCCACAGTACTTCAGCTTGAGGTCTGGAAAGCATGATAAGAATTATACTTTCATTGACTTTTTTCCCCTTTTCTGATTAGATCATTTTACCCCTGGCCATTAAAGAGAAGGAATCTTTAAAAATAACTGCAACAAGCTTTGGCCAAATAGCTTAGTTGGTTAGAGCATCGTCCTCTTATGTCAAGGTTGCAGGGTCGATCCCGGTCAGAGCATATACAGGAGTCTTCTAATGAGTGTAGGGTGAGTGGAGCAACAAGTCAGTGTTTCTCTGTCTGTCTCTCTCTCTCTCTTTCTCTCTCTCTCTCTCTCTCTCTCTCTCATCAATTTTTTAATTATTTTTTAAATAATTGCAACAAAAAATGTTTTCCTTAGGCCCCTATATTCGAGTAGTGTTTTGTTGGTACTAAATTTAGGAGTTAGGCTGTGGTACTAACTAATTGCATCATCTTGGGTACGTTGTTTAGCCTTTTGAAGCCTCGGTTGTCTTTTTTTGTAAAACAAAGGTGTTGGTCCTGGCTTAGATGGCCTCTAAGATCCCTTCCAGTTGGCCAGCCTGTGACATTTCTGCCACGGCAAGCTACCCAGGTGTGTGTACAATCTAATGCCTGCCTCCTTAGAAGCGTTTTTTCTTTTGTTGTTTAAGCTAGCAGCAAGCACTAATTATTGCAACTCTAAATAGAAAAGCTGGGAAGCACTTCACAAATGCTTGTAAACAGTGAACGAAATAATGTACATTTAGAATCCTGTGAGATGATCCTTTATGTTCCTGAGAACTTTGCAATTCCATAATTATGAAACTACCACAATAGTATATAATTATCAACATGTATCAGTTTATCAAGCTTCTGACTTTTGAGGTTAATATGATTACTTCTTGGACCTTTTCATGTTTCCTTCCTTTTCATCACCACACTAACAGTTGGTGTTCTTTGGGGAGGCATTTTTCCCCCAAAGAAGTAAGTTATCACTCGCCAAGAGTTCCTATATCCACAACAGAAGTAAGCAAACAATAAAGTCACTTTGAGATGCTGATGCTGTGTCAGTAGCTAAACGTCTTTACCAACTTGGTGACTCACTGCTGCACAAAACAGCCCTGAAAACACACCTCATATTGTTGCCTTTGTAAAACTGCCATGGGCTGCTGGAGTGTATTTGACTTCCTGTTCCGTTGCTCTTGATAGACGAACTCTCCTCAATAACACAGTGGAGAGAAAACCCCTAGCCTCAGCCTCCTACATATGCTGCAATCCCAAATTGACTGTCATTTCCCTGTCCCACATTCCAGCCTCCTTTCAGGAACAATGCCCATGATGATGTTTAGATCAGCATATGCAACTCATGATTTCTTCTACCTAAGTCAGTGGGAGAAACAACAGCGTTGCACATTATTTGATATTTAGGCTCGGTTTAACCTTCCTATACCTCATTCTCTGTGACACAGAACACTGCCTTCTCTTCTCACAGGGCTATCTTTTTTGTACTGTGAGATGCATTATAATTACTACTAGAGGCCCAGTGCACAAAATTCATGCACAGGCAGGGTCCCTAGGCCTGGCCAGCGATCAGGGCTGATCAGGGCCTTCCAGCTGCTGGCTGGGGCCTTCTTTCATTCTGCACCGCCCCCTGGTGGTCAGCGCACATCATAGCAAGCGATTGAACTCCCGGTCAAACTCCCTAGGGGACACTTTGCATATTAGCCTTTTATATATATAGATAAGGAAGACCCTTACATGCTCAGCCCCTCCCTGTGCGGTCAAGAATACAGACCTTTGGCGCTTCCCTCCTGCTTATTTTATGCTTCCATGCAAGATCTCGGCAATGTTTACTGGGAACCTGAATCCCTAGGCCTCGCACATTTTATCTTTATCTCTACCATCTAACCCTGATTATTTGACATCTTCACTACAATAATTCTTTTTTTGATCAACAAGTAGCCTGAGTGAACCCCCCTCCCCAGCCTCATGTTTCCATCCTGCACCCCATTTCGGTTTCAGCTACACCGAACCACTTATTCCTCTCCAAGCCTCCACATATTCACCTTCACACCCCTGCCCTGTGCACTCCTTTATAAAGTTCCTCCTAATAATCTCTAGAAGTAATTCCTTACAAAGAAGAAGATTTGGCAGGCACTACATGTTTTGGAACCTGCCAAGCCAGGATGGTTTTAGGTGGCTTTTAAAGACTTTACATATGCCATTTATACCACAGATACAGCAGTAGCATTTACCTGGCTTTCTTAGCTGTAAAACAGTCTCAGCCAAGCTGATTACATTGGGCATGCAACAAAGGTAATTTATTCATCATACACAAAATCTCCTGTTAATGGAAATCAGAAATTTAAGTGCTGATTGAAAGGAGTGCTAAGCCCTGGCCAGTGTGGCGCAATTGGGTGGGCATCGTCCTATGCACCAAAGGACTGGTTTGATTCCCAGTCAGGGCACATGCCCAGGTTGGGAGGTGGGGGGAAGGAGGGCGGGGATATACAGGAGGCAGCTGATAAATGTTCCATTCTCACACTGAGGTCTCTCTCTCTCTACCCCTCCCTCCGTCTCCCTCTCTCTTCCTCTTTCTGTCTCTCTAAAACAAAACAAACAAACAAACAAAAACAGTTTATAAAAAGAAAAGAAAGGAAAGCTGATATATCAGGACACAATTATCAACTACACCAAACTTAAGAGTACTTTTTAATTGTTGTATTTCCTAATTATTGTTAGTTTTGCTGGTGTCTAATAATTAACTTAGTCATAGAACATTAACCTATTTCTTTTTGCCTTCACCACTCCCATCCTATTTCATATTTTGCACATTTGGGGGGCTTACATCTGTTTAACATTAATCTAGATTTGGGTGACTTTTATTAAGAATACCTTATAAAGTAGGGGCTCAGCTGAATCTCTTCCCTGGGAGGATGTGATTTGTTGAAAGAACCAAGAAGTCTGAAGAGATCTTCACATTTCTCTAATTTATAGATTTGTCTCCCAGCCTAAAATGGCAGTTGCCTCTTCTCCAAGTTCCAGAGATGATTACCACTGACCATCTGGGTCTGCCCCAAACTCAAGACTGTAGACTTTCTGCGTGTGTGCGCACACACACACACACACACACATCACAAACTTAAAATGAATGTCAGTCTGAGACACCCATGGGCTTTCCAACCTCATAATTAAATCCACTGACAATTTTCTCTTCTAGCTCACTTGCAAAATAAATGCTTCAAAGAGAGTTAACTTTGCTCTCTCCATGTCTGTGTCCAGTGTGTATACAGTGATGAGGGTGGTGTGGAGAGGAAATATGGGTGTGCCTTGAAATACATACTACAATTCTGAGTTTTCTTAGCTTGCTCATAATTAATTCAGAAACCAAAGGTTGAGGGATCCATGAAGGGCTGAGAAGGGGTGGATGTTCTTGTGCTAATGAAACATAGCTGCATTTAAATATTGTCTTCCTGATAGCAAATGGAAGGAAATAGACCATTGACTGGAATTCTCTCACTCATTGTTTCCACTGTTCTCCCCACTCCATCCTCTTTTCCAATGCTCTAACTCTACCTACTTTCTTTGGGGAAATTAAGTGTGGTATTTTTTAGACATGCTGATCCATTTGCCTCTCAAAGCATTCATTTTGTTCTGCATGGATGAGGTGCTGGCTTTCCAGTAGCTCTGGCCCCAGTACCTCCTCATGTCCTCTTCCAAGAAGGAGGCGTGCCATTGGGACCCTCCAGGCAATGGAACACTGTTTCTGTCCACCAGAGTCTTAATGATTTTGCTCACTGTAGCATCAGCGCTAGTCCTTTTTCACCTTGGAATTTGAGGGGATGAAGAAATCTAATTTCTTCAAGAAATCTTTGAAGGGGAAAAGTTTCTAGTAGGCTGATAGATGAATCTCCTAGTTATATGAGTGTGTATTTGGACACAGCAACCTTTCAGTTTCATATACTGACCATAGATGGGACCACCTATTTGGCCTGAAGAAACCCTGTTCCAAGTGGCCCGGGGGGTGAGGGGGTTATGGGGGATGATATCTATCTCTCTTCTCTCTGAATATCTTTTTTCTTGTCCTTAAATGGCATATTCTCTAGGGATTTGTCTCATATCTCTGTAAGTGGTGGCCAACTCTCCTTTTTTTCTCAGAGAGGAAGATGAGTACTCAGAACTTCGATCAGAACTCAGCCAGAGTCAACAAGAGGTCAACGAGGACTCTCGAAGCATGGACCAAGACCAGACCTCTGTCTCCATCCCCGAAAACCAGTCCACCATGGTCACTGCCGACATGGGTGAGTCTGCCTGCTACAAAGCCAGAGCCTGGTTTCTGTAATAGGGATTTATAGAAACGTGAGGCAGCCTGGCTTAAAATTTAATTAAGTTAATTAAGGAGTTTGGTGAGTAGATAAAGGCATATCCATTTCAGTCCCTTACATACTACTTTGTTGGTCAAAATGGAACTGAAGATTTGAATCACTTTCTGTCCTGATGTTTGTGATTCAAACATACGTCACCTCTATTTGAAAATTCTGGCAGGAGAAAACCAGTTATAAAGGCTGCTGGAGTGCTCCAAGTTGCAATACAATTAGGATGGAAGGAATAGAAAGGCGAGAATGGGTGGTGACACATTGCAGTGGAAGAACCAAAAGCAACTGTTGGGTAAGGAAGATCCAAAATGACTCTAACATGTTGATCCTGAGTGACTCAGAGAATGATCATATTCCTCAGAAGTTTGATTGAGAAATGAGTTGGGAAATAGATATATTATGTTTGAGGTTGTAGAGAAATGTTCATGTGGAAATATCTGGTACTGTGTGACTGGATGGTGTGTTTTTAAACTGCAGGTCATGACCCATTAGTGGGTCTTGGAATTATATGGAAAATGAAATACAGTGGGGCCTTGACTTACGAGTGTCCCGACTAACGAGTTTTTCGAGATACGAGCCATCTCTCGGCCGATTTTTTGCTTTGAGTTGCGAGCTAAAATTTGGGTTACGAGCCAGCTTCAGATACCCCACCGCTAGTTGGCGCAGCGAATGTCACAGTGAATGCCACAACATCAGCCCAGCATCACGTGTCTCACTCGTTCACTTTTTGATTTGACATACGAGTAATTTGAGTTACGAGCTCCATCACGGAACGAATTAAACTCGTAAGTCAAGGCCCCACTGTAGTTTTAAATGAAATAAAATGGGGGAAAAATAGAATGACAGTATTGTTTCATGAAAATTACTTGTTATCTGTGTATATGCAGTAAATTGCCATATGAAATGTTCCAAATGTTGGTTGCAGTCAAAATGTTGCAAAACCACTGGACTACTTGGAGATGCCTAACTGGCTCTTTGGAGAGATTGAGGTTGAGGATAAAGGCTTTGAAGCTATGAAGTAAACAGATCCCTTTGGTCAAAAGGGTGGAGAGTCAAAAGAGGGAGGAGACCCATATCTTAGGAAATGTTCACATGTAGGGGAGAGATGGGAGAAGAACCAAGAAAAGGAGGAGTAAGTGTAGTGCAGTGTTCACAGAACTTAAAATGTCATTGAAGAGAGAGACTTGAATCAAATATTACACATTTATGTTTAATTGCAAACATATATAAGTACTACAACATTAAAGAACATGGTACCATGAGAATGTATCAAAGGAATTTGATTAAGTTTAGGATTTTCAGGATAGCTTCCTCCCAGGAAGTGACATTTGAATGAGATCTGGAAGATAAATAGGAATTAAGCAGATAAAAGAGAAGATGGCATTCAGGGGGTGGGGACAGATGCATTCCAGGAGGTGAAAAAAGGATTTTCATGTTTGAAGGGCACAGAGGTGTGAGACGGAGGCTGGAGAGGCTGGCAGGAGCCAGATCATGCAAGGTCTTGTAGACTGTGTTAGAGTTTGATCCTTATTCAAAGATCCACAAAAACCAATGGAAAGATTTTAATCATGGGAGGGAGGGAGGGGAAAAGAAGATCAGATTTGCATTTTGAATGTGTCATTCTGAACTGAGAAAGGATCAGTGGATCAAGAGTGAATGGGGGAGGCCAACTAGGAAGCTATTGAAAAAGTGTAAGTGGACAGAATTGTTGCTCAGAATTAGGGTGGTGGCATGTGAGATGTAGAAAAGCAGATGGGGATAGAAAAGGTATAAAATGGCACGATCTGGCTAAAGGATTGGGAACAGAGGGTAAAGGAGGTATGTAGGTGGCAATGCCCCATACATACATGTCTGGATTATACAGTGGATGAACGGTGGGCCAGACACCAATAAGGGAGCATAGAAGAAAAGACCAGGTGGTTTTGCTTTCACTTTTGTTTTGTTTTGTTTGGGGGCAGGGTAGGGTGGGTAGAAATCATGTGTTTTGTTAGGGCATAAATTTAAGGTGCCTGGAGATAATCTGGGTGGAGATGTTTGGGAAGGCAGGAGGCAGTAGATACACATAAGAAGCCAGGAGGAGAGGTGTGGGCTGAAGAAAAGCAGCTAGGAGACATCAGGCTGTTTACAGACAGTTACTGAGGCAATGAAAATCTATGTGAGGAGTGCAGAGTGCGAGGAGCGAGGAGCGAGGAGTGCAGGTGCCCAGTGCAGAGCGCCTGTAGACTAAGCCTTGGGGGCCACCGGCTGATAAGGAGGCTCAGCAGGAGCTCATTGGCAGGGATGGGCTCTCATCGTTTCGGTCTGGGTTTAATTGCACCTCCTTCAAAAGCATCTCATGAGCAAGTCCCTGTGCTGACTGTCGCTGCCCCATCTGATTCCTGTATCACATTGCAATGTTAAATAATGTATTTGTATTCCTTTGCTTGACTGACTCTCCCACTAACCTTCCCTGGGCAGAAGCATGTTTGTTTTATCTACTAGTGTATCTCCAGAGCCCCACCACAGGGCCTGGCACTTCGTACGTGTTCAGAGATACTTCTTTAAGTGAACGACTGAAGCAGTCAACCAAGTATCAAGCCGTCAGTCAGGCAAAGCTATACGGAGGAAATGAGGAGAGTGGCGTCCAGAAGCCGGTGGGACAGAGAAGGCTCCAATAAGGAAGAAGGGGTCAGCAGGCTGGGTTGCTGCTAAAGCCAAATGAGACCGATTGAGCTACATCAGAGTCATTGAGAGCTGATACCAACTGAGCCAGGCAGAAATGGGTTGAGGAGCGGGGATACCTCTCCAGACCTGAGGTCTTGGCTTCAGGCTTAAACTGTCTCCCTCAAACCTAAACCCAGACCCTGGCCCCACCCATGGGCCCAAGTCCTCCATGCTAAGTTATACCAGCTCATAATCTCTAACCCTAGTGGCCCCCCGACTCTGGACTCTGTCTTCCAGCCATAGGCAGACAGACAAGTGCAAGCAGCCAAAAAGTTCCCAATTACTAGGGAAGTTCCTACATTCCATAATTTTATTCTATGAAATTAAATAAATGGCCCATTCCAACAAAGTTTCTTAATCAAATAAGGTTGGGAAATGGAAGAATGAAGCCACTTACATGGGCTGGGCATCTGTACGATGGGACTTCTCAGGGTCCTGACATGAGAGAGCATCTGTCCCTCCTTCCCCTCATTAAAAAAATATATGTTCATTACGGATGGTTCCTTCCTGGGAGAAGGAACCCTGTCTGCCCAGTGCCTATATATGTTCTCTGTCCACAATAGGGGGCATTTATTCATTCAGGAAATCATGGGGAACTGTGCTAGGGGCTGGGGATATAAGACAGACTCTGCCATCAGGTGGCTGTACTCCCATGCTCCAATTCCTCATACCCAGAGTGACATCCCGACTTCTTACCATGACCTACAGGGCCCTCAGAACCTGGGCATCCCCAGGTTCTTTAATGAGGGGAAGGAGAGACAGATGCTCTCTCATGTCAGGACCCTGAGAAGTCCCATCGTCACGACGCCCAGCCCATGTAAGTGGCTTTATTCTCCATTTCCCAACCTTATTTGATTAAGAAACTTTGTTGGAATGGGTCATTTATTCAATTTCAAACCTCATCCTCCCCAGTGTCCCTGTTTTTCTTTTAGCCTCTGACCTCACTGACCCTCAAACCTGACCAGCCTCCCTCGCTTGGTGCTGCCTGATGTCATGTGTCTGCATTGATTTCGTTCCGTATCACCAGCCTTTATCAGCCTCTCCTGCTAGACTGCAGGCTCCCTGTGGGCAGCTGTCCTGTTTACCAATGAAACAGTGCCCGCACATAGTAGGCAACCACAGATTTGAGTAACAGTGAATGCCATCTTGGAGCTCATGATTCTTTGGGGGATGTAGACAGGAAAACAGAGAATGAACAGCAGTGGGGTAAAAACCACAACAGAAGGTGAACAGGGCCCCTAGTGACTCCCTGGGATGGGAGCACTGGAGGACGAGTAGCACTTAATGTACATTCAAACTGAGGGTGAAGTGGGGGCGATGCAAGCAAAGAGCAGGAGGCAGAGGAGAGGGTTGTGGGCACAGGGCCCACACCTGCCAGGTCCCCAAGGAGGGAAGGCCCCGGGGACAGCAAGGAGGCTCATTAAGGCTGCAGCAGAGTGCAATGCCTGCGTGTTCATCGGAGCTGGACGTTTGCCTCCTCTTACTCCTCTGCCATTTTCCAATTAAATTGCTTCAATCGGGAAAAAAGCTTCCATATATAAACACCATTATAGGAAATCATTAAAAAGCAGCCATTTCATTATGGTTGCTGTATCTGCAAACATGCATTAGCAGACCAGAGGTTTCCTTGAGCTGGATTTTATATGCAGTTTGCTTTGATATCTGTACTGATCTCCATTTAAGACTAAGTCAAACCTATTCCCTTCACTGAAAAAGCACTTTTCTTTTGTTTTTAAACCACACCCATCAAAGCTAAGGCTGCCCCTTCAGTAAGCTGGCTCCTAGGCACTGCCCCCAGGGCCTGGGGGGCAGAGGGGGGTGGGTAACCAGCAATTTAGAAAGTGCTTTGACTTCCCTGAGCAGTCATGTAAAGGACAAAGGTCCCAGTAAGGCCACAGTGCATCTTAGAATACATTGCATTACCTCTATTCAAACCTGGTCGCACAATTATTTGGAAAATAAAGGTAATTAAATGGACAAAAACAGCGGTAGGAATTGCTGGGGGATTTTTATTTTCTTAATTTGACCAAGAGTTCTCATTAAAAGAGAGGTTGGATATAACAGCTAGCATGCTTTGCTCACTCGTGTTGTGCCAAGCATTTACATGCATCCTCAAAGTTGAAGGATGGGAGGCCTTGTAAAGCTCCTGATTTATAAAGTTGGGCTAACAGAGTGCAGAGGGGTAAGCCACTTACCCAAGGCCGTACAGCTAAGCAGTTGTT